GGTTTTAACCAGATTCTTTTCATTTAGGTTCCTTCTTTGTTCCTTAGATATACACAGAGAGTTTATAAAGAGCTGCTGAACGATTAAAAATGTGAAGAGAATGCCCTCGGGTCATTTTTTCAAACGCGTCGTTAACCCACTTAATTCCAAATTGGTAAAAAATAATAGCTAATTGGCTGGTACTTTTTAAGTTTTGTGGTTCTAACTCATTGGGGGGCTCAGGGGAAGAAAGTTCATAGAAAACTCAAACTACACAGTTTTCCTTATTGAGAACACTTGCTCATTTTTTATTTTACTAAAATGACCAAGTATGTTGAGTTTTGTGTCAGTATTCGTTATATATTTCTTTATCCTCTTGTTCCAGATAGTAAAGTGTTCACTTAGATTTTTTTTAATAAACACTTTTTGGTTTGTACAACAACCAGTATAAATTGGAATTTGCATTTCCCTTACAGGTACATTTTGAAAGAAAAATTAACATATTTTTCTAACTCTTTTTGGTCTTTTTAAAATCATTAGCCCTACATGATTGGTGCTTCAACCAACCATCATACTTTCTTTAGATGTAAAGTTTGGCACACTTCACACGGACCTAGCCTTACGTTTTTACTAAAGAAACACCCACATGGAAAATTTGGCATAATCTAAGACACTAATGGGGATGAGGCCTGGTGGTAGTCTATATATAAACTGTCTAGGGAAGAAACTAAAGTAAAGATCTACTTTATTTTAATAAATACTTTTTGTTTTGTACAAAAACCAATATAAATTGGAATTTGCATTTCCCCCACTTGAGTTGTGAACTTAGAATCCACTTTTTAAAGATTTATATGTTTGTGAACTTAGCAAGCCTGTTGATGATGGTTTTTTTCCTACAAATGTCACTATGAAGTTAACATATGGATCCAAGTTCATTTGGAGAATCTTATGTTTAAAATAGAAGGGCCACTATTTTTAAGGAAAATTAACAGTAGCAGTTTTTGAAAATAGTTCATAGATGTATAGCCACAAGCCCCTAACATACAAGAGTCTATAGATGCTAACGTATTTCCTTGCTGAGACGTCCATCTCGTCTGTAATGAATTTTATTTTATTTCTATGATATAGCAATCTCATGTTTCTATATTCTGCTAATACTTTTAAAATTATGTGTTTCTAACTTATTGGGGGCTTAGGGGAAGAAGAGTGGCACGATTAATAAACACGTGTAGGAGATACTGCGAGGAGGCTAGCCAAGATTCAAAATGGCCCTAAATAATTTGTTTCTGCCCTTTGAGAGTTGTATGGCTTCATTATTATCTTTTTGAAAGAATTTAAGCTGGGGAATTAAACCTGTATCTTGTGTCTGAATGGGCATGTGAAGAATGTGAGAAACAAATGTGCAAGGGAGGCACTCTTGCTCACTTATGATGGTTTCAATCACAATGATGGATTTCAACTTACAAAGTTGGGGTCTAACGAGTAGTGTATACATTCGGAGGGATTTACAAAGTTGGACTTTAGTTTCAGACTTTTTTAATTAATTAGTTTTAAACTAAATACTTTTCCAAGCCATACAAATTTTAGACAGGTTATTAATCTGTGTTGCTTATTATGTTGCTCATATATTACTCATACATAATGATTTGGGTAGCTAACTGTCGTATTAAATCACGATACAGAATTTTGACTATTTAAACATGTTTAGGTTTGAATGTTTTTGTTAACAATCAGTTAGACTAAGATTTTAAAAATTAGTGAGTATATGGAAATGTTTAATTTTAAAAATTACATACTCCGTATTTGTTTTGAGCCTTTGAGGTGATCAAATGTGCATGCTTCAGCTTTGCATTTAGCTTTATGGCTGAAACAAATATCTCTATCTGATTACACGTTTTTTGTGTTTGTTACTATTTGAAATGAACTTATCCTATTATTATGGTTATATTGTAGACTTTGTAGTAATCTTGGTTGCTTTATTTCCCCCTCAGATAAGCCAAGATACAAATATTTTCATATGACTTTGTTTATCAATTTCTAATAATTATGTATACAAATTGATTAATCAAAATTACTCATGCATTCACTCATCTTAACCCGATGAAGTAATATGCCTACAATGTTCTTGGGCATTAACACGAATGGGCATCGCGCGTTGCTAAACTAGTATTACAATAAAGGGGGGGGGGGGGGGTATGTGGGTTGGTTTTGTTTGCTATGTAGAATTCTTGTTGGAGGCAATCAGGATGACTCGGCCGCTAATAGCCTCTATGCTCTTACTGTTTGAGCGATTAGTTTCGCTCTTTTCGGGGTGGACTATTCTATGTCTGATGATGACGTGAGGGGACGATGGGCTTTTGGTATTGGTTGGATAGAGGGAGATTTAGTTCTTGGGACATGATTGTTGTTTTGTTTCAATTCATTTTAATAAATGTTCTTTCCTTTAAAAAAAGAAGTGAAGAACCAATTCTAGCAATTTACTCATTTATTATCTTTGCAAGTTTAATACAACAAGTATAGTTTTATCTAATTATTTATGGACATAAAATAGACACAAATTAAAGCGATGGTAAAAGCGTAAATTTTAATCTATAAGAATAAAACAATGGAAAAATTGACAAGAATAATCTCACCTTTATTGATTTTCTCATAATAATCACACATTTACGTAATCTCAAAATAATCTCAACTTTGCACTAATCTTCTTCGGTTGGACCCTGATCGGTTGATCACCTACGATACCTGGTTTTTTACCCTTTCTTTAAAAATCTTACATAAATAATTTCATCATTCTCTTCTTATTAAAGATCTTTTTCTCACTCTACTTTTTGTTTTTTTTTTCACTTTCCCCCCTTTTCTTCTTCTACTTTATTTATATTATTTCTTCTTTCTTCTTTTCTTTCTTCTTGTTATGATTAATATGTTTTTCCCCTTTTTATGTTTTTCCTCTCTTCATTGTGGTATTTTTCTAAATAAATCCACCCATTAATTTCATCAACTGTAAAAAACACTCTATGTGATCGAAAGATTATGAAAAAATAAAACATTTGAAAAATGTAAAGAAAAATAAAACATTCGGGAAAGTGTAATTTTTTTATTTTTTTATAAAATGTTTTTAATGCCCTCTATATTTCCGGTATGGTAAATAAAATGAATAGATTTTTAGATAATTCGAGTATAACACTGTTTTCCCGATATTAATTCCACCATAGAGGTGGTTCTATTATTAATCCTACAGAAGAAGATTTTAAACAAACAAACAAGATTATAAAGATTATAAACTCATTTACATCTTTGTCATTAAAGGCGTGTTTGGAACTCATTCTCCTTCTGCTTCCGTTTTAAACTAGAAAAATAATCAGAATTAGTTTTCAGAAACTGATCTCTTCCAACTTCTAAAAAAAATGATTATAGAAATAAATTAGAGCACAAAAATCGTTTCTATACTATTACCCATACACTTCAACTTATGCTTCTACTCTCTAAACATTCTCCACCTATAATCCTAAAATGTAATTTCACTTTCCGCAAAAAAAATCATCATCCTATACCTAAAAGCGCTACACTGGAGAGAGAAAATTCTTCCGCCTAAGCATTCTCTGCCTATAATCCTAAAATGTAATTTCACTTTCCGCAAAAAAAATCATCATCCTATACCTAAAAGCGCTACACTGGAGAGAGAAAATTCTTCCGCCTAAGCATTCTCTGCCTATAATCCTAAAATGTAATTTCACTTTCCGCAAAAAAAGCATTATCATATACATAAAAGTACTACACTGGAGAGAGAAAATTCTCTCACCTAAACATTCTCCACCCATAATCCTAAAATGTACTATAGAGTAACTTATAATTTTCGTTATAGTGTGGTGGACTTACATGCACATCCATTTCAGCGTGTGATGTTTTACATTTAGTTCTTACCATTTATTCAGAATTTATTTAATGTTTTCAAATAATTCTAACACAATCATGTTTTCTAAATATTTTTAAATATATAATTATATCTAAATTATTATGTGGGTTTCGCACTCCCGTGCAGCGCACGGGTGGAATAACTAAAATTGTCTTTTATCAAATTTGGTAAATTTTGTGTGACCCTAAGTCATTCTTACTTTATTTTTATTTCATCAATTCAATATATCCTAACCTAAAAGCACTACACTGGAGAGTGAAAATTCTCCCGCCTAAGCATTCTCCGCCTATAATCCTAAAATGTAATTTCACTTTCGGCAAAAAAAAATCATCATCCTATACCTAAATTTTCTCTCTTCAGTGTAGTGCTTTTGGGTTTAGGATAGGATGATGATTTTTTTTTGCGGAAAGTGAAATTGCATTTAAGGATTATAGGCGGAAAATGCTTAGGCGGAAGAATTTTCTGTCTCCAGTGTATTGCTTTTAGGTATACAATGATGATTTTTTTTGCGGAAAGTGAAATTACATTTTAGGATTATAGGCGGAGAAAGCTTAGGCGGGAAAATTTTCTCTCTCCAATGTAGTGCTTTTAGGTATCCAATGTAATGCTTTTAGGTATAGTATGTTTTTTTTTTGCGGAAAGTGAAATTACAATTTAGGATTTTAGGCTTAGGTGGGAAAACTTTCTCTCTCTAGTGTAGTGCTTTTAGGTATATGATGATGATGATGATGATGATATTTTTGCGGAAAGTGAAATTACATTTTACGATTCTAGGCGGAGAATATTTAGGCGGGAGAATTTTCTCTCTCCAATGTAGTGCTTTTAGGTATAGGATAATGATTTTTTTTGCGGAAAGTGAAATTACATTTTAGGATTATAGGTGGAGAAAGCTTAGACGGGAAAATTTTCTCTCTCCAATGTAGTGCTTTTAGGTATCCAATGTAATGCTTTTAGGTATAGAATGTTTTTTTTTGCGGAAAGTGAAATTACAATTTAGGATTTTAGGCTTAGGTGTGGGAAAACTTTCTCTCTCTAGTGTAGTGCTTTTAGGTATATTGATGTTGATTTTTTTTTGCAGAAAGTGAAATTACATTTTACGATTATAGGTGGAGAATGCTTAGGAGGGAGAATTTTCTCTCTCCAGTGTAGTGCTTTTAGGTATAGGATGATGCTGATTTTTTTTTTTTTTTGCGGAAAGTGAAATTACATTTTACGATTATAGGTGGAGAATGCTTAGGCGGGAGAATTTTCTCTCTCCAGTGTAATGCTTTTAGGTATAGGATAATAATTTTTTTTTACGGAAAATGAAATTACATTTCAGGATTATAGGGGGGAATGCTTAGGCGGGAGAATTTTCTCTCTCCAATGTGGTGCTTTTAGGTATATGATGATAGATAATTTTTGTTGCGGAAATTGAAATTACATTTTAGGATTATAGGTGGACAATGCTTAGGCGAGAGAATTTTCTCTCTCCATTGTAGTGCTTTTAGGTATAGGATAAACGAGAAATGCTTAGGCGGGAGAATTCTCTCTTTCCGGTGCTGTACTTTTAGGTATAGGATAGGATATCTTCTTCAACCCCACAGGCCCAAACCCATCCCTCCTTCACAGAATTTACACTACTCTTCCGTTTCCCCAAATTATTGCCTTCTTCTTCTTCCTCCTCTAAAGCCGGGTGCTTCAGAATGTAGCTCAGAAGCTGGACCCCTCTCAGCGTGTTAGTCAACGACAAATGCCCCTCCGGCACCTTGTCGCCGAGCTCCAAATTGAACTCGTCGGGAAACGCCCGGTAATTGTACTGTTCAATCTCCGTGTCCAGCTTCTTCATCCACCCGATCTTCTTGAGCAGATCCGTGAAGTCTCCGTTCACCTTCTTCCAGATTCTCCTCTGCACGCTATACCCAAATCTGTCATTGCTGTGTTTCCGCCAGAGGGAGTCGATTTTCCAGAGGTCGGAGTCCGAGATGAACTGGACATCCGAGAAGAACACGTAGCCGCGCTCCTGTACGGCGTCGCCGGCGGGTCTCCTCGTCCGCTTGCCGGAAGTTCTGGGCGGAGAGGTAGCGCTCCAGGAGCTGAGGTCGTAGGACACGGAGGTTAGGGGCGTGGAGGAGGGTAGCGTGACTGTAGTCATTGGACTGGCGGGGGAAAGGTTGAAACTGAAAATGCCGCACGGAAGGGCGGCAACGGAGACAGCTCTGGCGGTTTTGGTGGTGGGTTTGAGCCTTGAGAGGAAGGAGGAGGAGTCAGACAGGGGATGGCGCCTTAATGTGAGAGGGGCAGTGAGGGTGATGGTTAATGGACTTCAAATGATATGTAAGACCCACGACCGATTAAATCCAACAATCATCTCTTTAAATACAGTAGTGTCCGTTCCTCTTCCATCAAGTACACTTCTTGCTTTCCCAACTTAGGACACTAGTTGATAACTTGATATAGTGACCAAGTTCCCGACACTTGCAACATGTAACATGACTTTTGTTCCGGACACGTTCATTACAGTCTTGACTCCTGTCAGACCCACGACCTCTTCCCCGGCCACGTCCAAAGTCACCCCGACTTGAACCTCCGTTGCCACAATGCTTACAACCGTAAAACTTTTCTTCACTTGCCAATAACAAGCCATAAGTCATATGCATCCATGATCGTCCTCACCCTGATAGCCCACACCGAAAATTCGTCCGGGTCAAGGTCGAAACTTGAAACGCCATCGAACCTCCTTCTCTTGGTACCAACGCCATTATATTCTTCGTTTGGACAACCCCAAATTTTGTTGATCAAGCTTGTTCCGAGAGAGTTTTATACCGATCAAGAACACGTGGTCACAACCACCATTACCGTTTTCCGTCACCCGCAAAGCGAACCGAATCACAGTAACCTGCTATGAAATCTTTCTGTCTGCTTATTCTGCACCTGGTTATACTCTCAACAACACTAGAACATGCCCGATCAAATGAAAATCAGGGCTGCCGTTAGGATGCTATAACCAATGATCAAGAACAGCTCAAAAAATTATTCATACGGATCTTTGAGTTTTGATACCAAATGTTGGAAAGAAAATCTATACTTGATGAATTATACCAAGTGTTGATGTCAAAATAGAAGCTTCAAACAATTTCTCTTGGAATAACTAATGTGAGAAGGAAGAGTTAACAATTGCAATCTATATTAATTAATGAGGAGTAGAGGCATATATAGTCTTACAATTATTCCTACACGGGAAGTTGGATTGTGGGAAGTAGGATCATGCAAACATGCTAAGTAACCACCCCACTAAAATAAATTCTTAACTTCAAACTAATGCCACTAATTCAATTAATAAATTGATTAAAATATAAACCAAACTTAAATAAAACTCCACCCATGCATGCATATGTGAGACCCATGACCGATTAAATCCAACATGTGCGAATGCGGACTGGGACTACGGGAAGACTCCTGGCGACGCAGGCTGCTCGGCTGCAATGATGGCCTACCGGGAACCCGACCTCGCCTTTGGGACGATGGTGAGTTGCTGGTGTTGCGGAGATGATTAAAATTGGTTGAGCGGGAAGGCAATTGTGACGCCAAGTGGAAACACGTTGCAGAGTTGCGCATGAGTGGAAAATGTTGAGCGGGATGCAGAGCTGCACACGAATGGAAAACGACGAGGGTTGCAGGGATATGTCGGCACATCTGGGTATTCGAAATTAAGGGAATAAGTGAGATTAGAAAATTTAATTTTGGCCCGAGGTATTTAAGCTAAGAAACAGGTTAAATTGGTCAGATTGAATTGGGAAACTGCTAATTTTGACCCCTGGAGGATTGCAAGAATTAATATAAGTGAACGAAAATCAAAGCCCATTTTTGAAGATCGCCGGCCCGGATTGACAAATCTGATAAAGAACGTTGCGTACTGTCGGGGGGGATGGCGAGACCCCTGTTCCTTTCGCAAGCAGTAGGGAACAAAACGAATGGTTGATCAAGACCCGGGGTCTAGCCTTCCTTTGCTTTATTTTGAGGCACCGCTGTACTCTTTTTCCTTCACTAGGATTTTTTCCCACTGAGTTTTTTTCCTAGTAAGGTTTTAACGAAGCACCCCCTCATCATAAACAAAGGAAGAGGTCTTCCCGGCTGGGACACAGAAGACCTCTGGATGCTAATCAGATAACCAAGATCTGGGCTGCTACCCAGACAAGGAGGATCTCATCGTTACATAAACAATGGACTTATAACAAACGATTACACGATTGATATTTCCGGACGCACCCCAGATCGTCGTTATCAACAAAGATCTATGTAACGAGCGAGCTACCCCAGCAAGTAGGCCGATTTCAAGGCAACTCAAGTATTCCCTTTTTAGCCGAGTCTACTATTTGACCAAGGGAGTGCGAGACTCGTGTTGGGATAATGGGCCGGGTGCAGTACTATCGGCATGTACTGCCCAAAAAAGAAAGTTGGAAGCTTATTTAATAACAAGAGAGTAATATTCAATTTTAAGTGATAATAAAAGTGTAAGTTTTAATTAATGAAAATGCAAGATATTGGAATACTTGTTTCCATCATCCAATGGATCATTTTCCACTTACTTGTAATTAGATAATGAACAAGTGGATGGTGAAAACAAGTATTCCAATTCAAAGCCATCTTTTCTTTGTAGGTTATGGATGAAAGAGTTTGAAGGAAAACTATAACATGCTTCTAATGAATTATACACTTCGGTGTGGGAAAATATAATGTTTTCCGATATTCCACCATGGGTGATGGTCTGTTGAATAATCCTACGAAAGAAGAAGATTTTAAACAAAGAACAGATTATAAAGATCATATAAACTCATTTACATCATCATCATCAAAAGCTGTAATCCGATTTAAATGTTGATATCCTCTTCAAACCCAAACCCAAACCCGATTTATTGCCCTCTTCTTCTTCTTCATCCTCAAAAGCCGGGTGCTTCAGAATGTAGCTCAGAAGCTGGACCCCTCTCAGCGCGTTGGTCAACGGCAAATGCCCCTCCGGCACCTCGTCGCCGAGCTCCCAATTGAACTCGTCCGGAAACGCCCGGTAATTGTACTGTTCAATCTCCGTCTCCAGCTTCTTCATCCACCCGATCTTCTTGAACAGATCCGTGAAGTCTCCGTTCACCTTCTTCCAGATTCTCCTCTGTACACTGTACCCGAATCTGCCATTGCTGTGCTTCCGCCAGAGGGAGTCGATTTGCCGGAGGTCGGAGTCCGGGATGAACTGGACCTCCGAGAAGAACACGTACCCGCGCTCCTGTGCGTCGTCTCCGGCGAGGGCGATGAGCAGCCGGCGGGTCTCCTCGTCCGCTTGCCGGAAGTTCTGGGCGGCGAGGTGGCGCTCCAGGACGTCGTAGGACACGGAGGTTTGAGGCGGGGAGGAGGGCTGCGTGACTGTAGTCGTCGGAGTGGCGGGGGAATGGTTAAAGTTGAAAATGCCGCGCGGAAAGGCGGCGGAGGAGACGGTTCCGGCGGTTCTGGTGGTGGGTTTGAGGAAGGAGGAGGAGTCAGACAGGGGATGGCGCCTTAATGTGATGGGGTGGCAGTGATGGTGGTGGTTAATGGACTTTAATGGATTAGTAGCCATTGTTGGATTTGTTTGTTTTTGAGAAGCTCTGAGATCAGAGGGGTGAGGTTATAATCAAAAGTTGAGAGGCAAGAAGGATTAGAGGAGGAGATTTGGAACAGAGTATGGTGAGTAGACTAGTGAGATAAGGAATGAGTGGGCAAAATACAAAGGAAGGATGTGATTGGACAATAATGGGTGAGGAAGTCACTGACTCACTGCCATCTACCTCCTATATCTAAAACAAAATCTTTTTAGAGCATACCATTGTTTACTTCAAGATAATAACTAAAGATATATTCCTTTTTCGTCAATCTCAAAACTAACTTCATACTTCAAAATTTTTCTTATTTGACAAATTATCTACATTAAAAAAGTGTCAAACAATATCCAAACAGTGCAAAACAGTGCATTTCACAGTAAAGTCAAATTTATTTTCTTGATCTGTGTGAAGTCAAAGTGTGAAGTTTATAGCGGGACGTAGGGAGTAAATAAAATAAAGGGAAAATGGAAACTAATCATTCAACCTTTTAGCAGTCTTATTTTTTAACAATTACATGCAAGTTTACTTCGCTCCGAACTCTTCGAGAAAGAGGGGTGAGAAAAGGCGGCCGTCTTCTAGGGTTTTCCTAGGTTGATTTTCCGGCGACGTCCTTTTGTGGCGTTTGGATCCGGCGTTTTCCCTCTCCGTAGGGCTTGGACATTGAGATCGAAGGAGGACAATTGAAGATGGAGATGGCTGGCTAGCAGGGATTGTCGATCAATTTGTCGCAGATGAGGAGAGCCGAGCAGTGTAGAGTACGGACAACGTGGAAAACTGATCGATCTACCCCTGATTGGTGCATCAACAATCATTGCGACAGGCAGGCCTCCCCCAGAATCACCGCCAAGGATTGATCGACGCGGTTGGGAGTTTGCTTATAATTTACCTTTTCTGCATTTTAATACTATCCTAATAGAAAGGAAATGACAAAAAGATTTATCTAGATTTTTTTAATCCTAATAGAGTAAGAAATAGAATAATAAAAAAATGGAAAAGGAATAAGAACAAAAGGATAGAAAAAGAAATACAAAGTGTACAAGGATGAAAATAAAGAAAGAAAAATTTTAGAAAGAAAAAAGAAAAAATGAAACATGAGACTATTTTGAACGGATTTGTGAAAAGTGAAATTATTTATGTAAAGTTTTCAAATATAGGCTCAAAAAATCTGGTATAGGCGTATATTAGCTCAATGTGATAAAAAAAGATGAGATGAAAATGTGAGATTGTATTCTATGATTACGTCAATATGAGATTATTATGAAAATACTGGTAAAATGTGGGACTATTCTTGTTTTTTTTATCATGGGACTATTCTTGTTAAAAAACGAAGTTTCCCATTTCAGAGCCCGTTTGGAGACCTCTGTTTTCGGCTTATCAGGCTTATCAGCCAGCTTTTTCACCAAACACGTAACTTTTACTTTCGCGCGCTGAATTGTGTAATAAGCCGAAAAAGTAAGGTTGGAGTTACTTTTCTGGCTGTATTGGCTGAAGTTACTGTAGATGACCATTTTAGCTATTTTTACATATAATTTTTTCTTTATTTTATTAATAAAATATATTTTTAAAATATTTTTTTCTTAAATCAGCAGAATCAGCCAAAACAGCCACTTCAGCCAAAATATCATAAATTTCAGCAGAATCAGCCAAAACAGCCAATTTTGGTGCTACCAAACGGGCTCTCAAATTGCAAGATTTTTATAATAGTCCAAAATGATCATTCTTTAAATAAGTACTCCACATGCTGATCAAACTTGAGTAATACGAAGTAATCAATTTTAGCAAAAGTTTTGCTTTAGGAATGGAAGGATTTGCTTCTATCTCCCAATCGGAAATTTTCCAATTACTTGTAATAATTAAATAATGAACAATTGGGAGACAGAAGCAAATCTTGCAATTCAAAGCCATCCTTTCCTTGGAGGTGTTGGACAAAAGAGTTTGAAGGAAAACTATAACATGCTTCTAATGAATTATACACTTCGGTGTGGGAAAATATTATGAGTAGTATAACAATGTTTTCCGATATTCCACCATGGGTGATGGTTGAATAATCCTACGAAAGAAGAAGATTTTAAACAAAGAACATATTATAAAGATTATATAAACTCATTTACATCTTCTTCATCAAAAGCTGTAATCCGATTTAAATGTTGATATCCTCTTCAAACCCAAACCCAAATCCGATTTATTGCCCTCTTCTTCTTCTTGATCGTCAAAAGCCGGGTGCTTCAGAATGTAGCTCAGAAGCTGGACCCCTCTCAGTGCGTTCGTCAACGGCAAATGCCCCTCCGGCACCTCGTCGCCGAGCTCCCAATTGAACTCGTCGGGAAACGCCCGGTAATTGTACTGTTCAATCTCTGTCTCCAGCTTCTTCATCCACCCGAGGAGGTTCTTTCTCCTCCCGTATTATTCTATTACTCCATTT